TCTTCCAATTACATTTCTCAGAGGTGCTTATTCTCATTTCTAATAGCACCTGTACCATATTAAAACTTACTATTTGTGGATTCATAACTAACAACTACAGCCTCAGCAGATGTACACTTTAGTATTTTAGAAAAGGGTTTGGAAGATAACTTCATCAACTACCACATTTCCCATTTAAAGTGGAACGCAGCCGTATGCTGATTCTTTAAAAGATGTGTTTGATCAAAAGTGACCACAGATTTGTTCTAGAGAAACAAACCAAAGAAAAACATTTCCATTTGTTTATATCTGTGCTAAACTTGACCTGTTTATAACTATAAAAAGTTGAATAAATGTTTAGTATTTTTTGCCATGTCCACCTCCCTAATTCTTTTGAGTAAGCATGCTTTAAGTTCTTGGCCAAGATAAAGCCCTCAGTCCTGACAATTTATTAAATATTTTTAAATATATTTCTAATGCTTGTAAGGTTTTTTTAATCTGTGTAGAGTCATTTAAGCTGAAGAGCTTCCAGGCAGAAATACTGCACATTTGATTTGAAAATGTGTAATACAGTATAGTTATATATCAAAAGGGATCCAACATTTTCCCAATGCCTTTACACAGAATAAACCCAACACTGAATCACAAATTATTTATTCCTTATAAACACTAGAAAAAATATTTTTAGTCTTGGAATACTAACATTCCCCCTAAAGAACTTTCAATTTTTTAAGTCAGATAGCTTAGCAACTGTCAGGTTAAACAACATGGTTCAAGACTCTTTTACTAGCGATATGTTACAAAGAAATTAAAGAACCTACTTGTGTTGAGAAGTAACAGTGCTTTCATACATAGGAACTCCTCTTGGCTAACTTGAAGTCTGACAAATTCCTGTGGAAGCTGCCACATGGATAGACACAGGGAATAGAACGATGATTCTTTCATCCTCTGTCTTACACCCAGAAAAGGTAAAAAAAATTAAAAAACATGAAAATAAAGAAAAGGAACATCTCCAGTACTAACTGCTTGAAGGAAGTGTCTTGTTATCAGTTTAATTACCACATTACAGAAATTGAAGAAAGAGGTTATAAATTTAAACAAGACGTTTATATAATTATAAAGAGTTTATAAATTATAAAAAATTTTCTGACTTTTTTGTACCTACACTAGTTTTTTAATCATAATGAATGTGCTATTATTTTGCATGTTTAATCTGTTACTCCTGCCCAGAAAAAGAACCTTGGAGACTATCAAAGCTGAATGCTAACCACCAAAGAAGGAGGTTTTTATTAACTGGAAACACCCTAATAATTAATTTGAAGTACATTCTTTTTCTTTTAGAGGTTGATAGACTTTTACAGTCTCTGAAAAGATTTCAAAGCATAAAATTGAAGATAAACCTGAAAGTTTATAGAAAACTTATTCTTAGGTTTTGCAAAAATGTCTGCAGCAAAATACTTTGTTGCAAATCTAACATTGTACTGCTAACAGCAATGATATAATTTTTTTAATTAACTTAGACATTGATACAGCCTTAGTTAAACTCCTCCAGAAGTAGGACAAATCACACAAGGAAATATATAAAACTGTTCCATTTTTTCTAGCACTTAAATCTTACTTTTCTTTTTGAGATTTTGGTATACTGAGTATATTTTATTGCATATATTTATTGAGAAGGCAGTTTTCAACTGAAATTACTGCAACAATAGCATTTCAAAGTTTGTAAACTAAACTGAATTCACTGTACGTTAACCTGAAGATCCAGTAACATAGGCTAATTTTACAAAGCTGCATCCCAATCCAGATGAATTAGGTAGAACGACAAGATTAAATTTTGCCTGTCCCCCTTACGAAGTTTCAGATCAGCATTCCAACCTGACTGCAGACAGTACCGTCAGCAATGAAAACAGAAGATATTTTCCGTGAATAAAATAATTCTCTCAATGCACTGAGTTTTTTTCTTCTGTTATTTAAAGTTTTACTTTTACCTTAAATGAAAATTATTTCAGCTTTGTTCAACATCTGGTATCTTGCACCAGCTCTTAAGTGACTTAAACACAGAAATTTATCTGTTAGATCTGAAAGGATGGGTTACTTCTATAGCTACTTTAAATATCCCTTCCTATTCTTCTCTGGTAGTCTCTATTCCTAAGTGGTATCTATGAAGGGTGACAGCAGCTTTCAGGGTATGTTTAAATGCTGTCCTTAGTCATGTTTTCAGACACTGCAAAATGTAAGTAACACTAAATCCTTGTAGGGTTTTGATAATAATTCATGAAACCATTGTCAAATTAACACTTCTGGCTTTATTGGTCTGAAATTGATGCTACCAAATAAATCATTCCCAAGGAGCACTACAACTCAGTTCATGAAATGACAGGTTGGCTGTGAAACTGTCTTTGGATTGTGGTTTCATGGTCATTTTGAAACAACTCAAGTGTGTGTTTTCCCTGTAGAAGGAATTTCCATTATCTCTTCCCTCCCCTAGGTGCGCACTCCTGCTATTCTGGCATCAGTGCCTGCATGTCCACGTGGTGAGTCAGACCAGGGATGACCTCCATCTGCTAATTAATGGCTTTTTCTGGGGTATTTCTCAAGCATATCATTTCCTTATCTGTTTGACAGTGCAGCCAGATAGTGTTTGATCCAGTTTAAGTGAAATCATGGGGTTGCATGACCAGGGCAGGAAGGCAGGTGGAGTTGGCTTTTTTTGGCTGTGTTCAGCACTTACCTTTGCTTAAAGTGATCATGAAAGTACAATCTGAGGCATCATTGTAGACAAGGAAGTTGCTTACATTTTACTGATCTAAAAGCTAACTTATTTCCCAATAAACAGTTGCAGCTATGATTTAGTGTGCCAGTTACTTTTCATGTCTTTGTTTATAATGTTCCTAATATGACCCCGATGAGATGTTCTACAACTAAGAGAAGGGTATGTTGTCAGTCCACCTCTTTCTCAATGTAGATGGACTTGAGCTGCAAACAAGAAGCTGTCCCTGAGGGATTATAATCACGGTTCATAAATCTCAACCCTATTCTTGAAGAAAGGCTTCTTCACAAGGTGGCAGCAGTGTTCCACATACAGGGTAATACCCCAAGACATAACATTACTGCCTAAAGCCATCTCACTCTGTGTTTCTTCTGAATGTAACCATGAGATATATGCTGAGACAGAATACAGTCGGACGTTCTCTCTATTTCATCCCTCCAAAGTATTTCAATTTGTACAGCATAATTAATACACATGGGAGAGGAAAGAATTCATTGTTCTATAAGCTCACAGTGATTTACAGTCATCTGGAAGAAAAAAGGTTGGGAGCTACAGGGCCAGATCCACTGAATATTTTCTATAAAGAACTTCACTGGCAAGAACATGCATGTCTGTAGATTTTAAATTCAGGTGCCTCGATCTTCTGCAAATCCACCGCTTAATCCTTCAACAGACATGTCTTACAAGAAAACCTGTTTAACTTTCATCTCACTTCATAGTAGTTCTTTTAGGATTTTGAGAAAAAATAACTAAGAAAAATGTATCAAGGAAAAATAAATAGGGAGATTAAATTATGTTTTACTGTTCCCTCCCATGTATTATAACCAAAGTATCTAAAACTACATCTCTGGTAATCTTAATTTGTAGAACTGAAAAACTCACAAAGACTGAAATGAAGATTATCTGAATTCATCAGCATAGTGAAGGAAAACCAAAGCTAACAATCCTCCCCCTCCAACCAGAAAAGAGCAGTCTCACATATTTTATCCTTGATATTAAAATTCCTTCTTGCTAAATTATTACAGTTTTCTAACAATAAATGCACTTTAGAAAGCAGAGTTTTATCAGTAAGTGTCAAAACTGAGCATTTTAGACTATATACAAACTATTTGCAAAACCTACCCAAACAACAATGATCAAAGAAAATCCTGCTTAGTTCCATTTATTAAACATTAACTCATGTCTTATTCAGATGAATTCAGGTAAATCTTCTGACAGCATCATTCTTTTTTTATGATTTTTCTCTTAGATAACTAAAATATTATTTGAACTCATTTGTTTGGCCATGTCAACAGAATATTTGGGCTTCCCACAAAACCCTTCCCAAAGTTACTGAACTTTAATATGATCAGAGGACTTTCCTCTGCTGTTAATTTTGAAACAGAACAAGTAATGAATGAAATCTTGGCTTAAATGAAGTCACATTCTCATTGACATAAGTCAGTTCAAAGTGTCATTCATATTATGCAACAGCAGAGTCTACTTACTCATTTAGAATCAGATCTGGTGCAAAATATAACATCTGACCACTGACATGTTTGTATGATCTCCATCCCATTGCAAAAACCATTAGACTCATCCAGGAATACTGGATGAGGGTTATCTGATCATCAATATGTAAATTCCGAAATCCTGGAAATTAAATTAAAAGTTAAAATATTTTATAATTCTTATTTAGACAACAGTTGAGTAGGTGTTCAGAGATTACAACTTTGAGCTATAAAACTGAGAACACCTAGAAAGACAAGTGTTTTTGGGGATGTAGCTCTCAGAAGTTTGTGAAGTTTGTATAATAACTGGGTATCTCACTTTTGATAGTTAACCTCTTGCCTTTTTGTTTTGATCCAATATTTTGAAATGATCAAACGAAAATTAACTTTAGCAGTCAGAAGTGACTATCTCAGGAAATAGGAATGATCTCATTTTCCTTTGGTAAAAATATGACTGTAACATGATCACTATAACCAACTCTTATTTAATATAGATAGCCTGGATTTTAGTATTCTTAACAAGAGATACAGTTGTAATACAACAAACATCCATATATGAATATCTTTCCTGCATTTAACTAAAATGAAGAGTATTCAGTTGTGTGTTTGCCTTTGATAACTTTTGTTCTTCGATAACTTTAAAGATTTCTATGAAGTATCTGAGTCAATCTAACAGCTTCCTGCCACTGAAAGCAGTCCTGTTCTTCGTTACCTGGTCCCGTTACCTCTTTCAGGCAAGCTCTGGCATTCAAGCCACCCCTCAGTGAACTGGTTCAGCTCATAGAGCCATCAGAAAACCAGAGGGTAAAAAAAAAAGGTTTGTTTTCATCTCACTTACTGAGATGAATCAGTTCAAACAAAGAGGTTTGACAAGCGCAAGCTGCAATGGGGAAGAGGAGCGATAGGGACTACCCTTTCCTGCAGCAGTGAAGTGTCAAACTGAGCTCACATGAAACTGTATTTCCAGGCTTGCTGGTCAATATATTGATTTTTATATATCCCAGGATCAGGTCCCTATGACCATACAGTGCATGTACATACATAACATGAATTTTTTTTGGAACCCAGTCTTGGATCTTCATAAATTCAGTTACTTCTCATTACCAGTCTATTTGTAAGCTGCTTAGTCCTAACTGGTACTATTTATTACAATTTTTCTCTGTTGCTTTCAAAAATTTAATTTAATAAGAATAAAGAATATGCAGAAATATAAACATTTTTTCATACCAAAAGAATTAATAATAGAGTAGGAGGGGTTAGGGTGAAAAGGCTGCTGTAACTATGACATACAGGAATTCTCTGGACTTCTGTTTTTTGGAGTGAGTCTAAATATTTAGATGCATTCCCTTAAAAGTGCCCTCCTATTAAAATGTATATGATTGGTGCATATATTATCTGATGAAGTGGAAGGTTAATGATTTTAGAGTTTCTTAAGAATTAATTAACAGGCAGACAAGAATATTCTCTTTTGACTGCTCGTCCTATGACATATTTACTTAACTAGAATTCACTACATATAAGAAGTGCTGTTACCTGGTAGCAATTTAGACCACTTGACTACACAAAGAAGTTGCCTCTCACAAAGATGATTTAGACTGGTCAGCAAGGAACTTGGTGTTTCGGGTTTTGTATTGTCATAACCAGCATAGACAACTTCTGGCTCAATGCCTCGTAGAACACTTATCATTGGGGGAACAAATTGTATTTCTTGATTTGGAGAAAAGGACAGCCTTTGGGTTAGAGATTGGCTTTCATCTTGAAGGGTTGCTGGCTGCTGGAGTGCGACATCTAATGTTCTCACAACCTTAATTTTGTTAAACTTTTTAAATTTTCGACCTGAAAAAGAAAATTGTTGATCTGTTAAAAAGAATTAACCAGAAACATTAATATTTTCCAGTAGTGCTGGATTACACTTTTAATCTATACAAGGAAACTAGAACGTTTTTCTGAGTAAGTTTTCTATTTTTGACTATTTATATAATTAAGAAATAATCATGGAAAATTCTTAAGAGTTTCTCCCTCCCTCTTCACTAAGAGATGAATGGCACCCACCCATTAAAATTATTGCCATGAATTCTAGGTTACAGTAACCTTATGAAGTGTTTTCTGGTTCAGTTCCCACTGTTGTATCATATGCCGACAGCTGAGCCAGCTGGCTCTATAATCCAGTTTCTAGTCAGTGTTAATTAAGGATACTGTTTCTTTTTTCTCCCTAATATTCAGAAACAAAAATGCTAGTAATTAATTACTACACACAGAGATTCCTTTCCACCAGTTCCATAAAGGCATTTCAGTCTCATGGCTAAATTCTATTGTAATGATCTGGACTGTAATATTTTCCTCCTGTTTACCAGAAAGAAAAGCAGAATTCAGGGGATGAGTGAAAAGCCAACAAATACTGTAAAACCACATGTCAACACTTAAAAAACTCTTCCTTTTCTAGAGAATAATTTTTCTTTCTCAGTATTTGCAATTCTTATTTCCATACTGCAGTGGTTTGAAGAACACTAACTAAAAAAAAAAAATAGTTGAACTGCCTTCCCAAAATAAGCACTTATATTACATCTGGTACAACTATGCAAACATACGGAGCTCTAGGTAGCAACTCTTCAAATTTCTTTCATGGAAACAATCTGGAGGTGCACCATGTAGACACAGAAAATCAAACCTTCAGAGGTTGAAAGACAAAAACCCTCAGTAACATCTTACCATATTACACATTTTTTAAAAAAAAAGCGAATCCATGTAGAGGTGGCTGCATGGAACACACGCACTATAAGTGGACCCTCAAAGGTGATGAAAACCCTGTTGGATCATTAAATTCCTCAGTTCTGCCAAACAAGTTTTGCTTAGTGAAAAAAGGGTGTCATAACAAATAAAAAATACAATAAAGATACTGGTATTTATGGTCTGATTTAGATGACAGTGGGACAGTAAGAGAGATGCAGTGTGACTGCAAAGAAAGGATAAATGATTCTGCCAACAAAGAAAAATAAAAAGTTTACATGTTTCAACCTTAAAGAAAACAATAAGGAGAAGGTTCTGCTCCAAGAAAATGCACAGATCACATAAATATTTTTACTTGTTGAGGTGCTTCATGCTTTAATGATAATAGAAAAATAGATGCACCAAATTTCACTGGATGAAAAGAAAAAACATACCTATCAAATTGCTGAGCCACTGAGAAACTGCATTATAAAATGGCAATATGCAAAAACCACTCTGTAAGTACAGGAGATGAAAGGTAATAGAAGCATAACATTATGCATCTATTTGGTTGAATTAAAGTCCAGTTTATAACATGTATATCAAATTGTCTTTTGAAAATGGTACTCTTATTTACAAGTGAAAGATTAGATAAGGGTACTTATCACATCCTAAAGGAAGGAGACAAAAGACTTCTCCATCTCTTACTGCCTTCTTTTTATTTTAGTTAAATATTGCCGCATTGTCAGAATGCAACCAGGGCACCAAAGAGGCCCTAGGACACTGGAGTAGGGAAGCACACCTAAACTTCAGCACATGCTCTGAATCTTTTCTCAACTGCTTATGGAAGGAATCAAGAGATGCTAGCATAGTCAGACTCATCTATTACCTTCTTCCTTGGAAAGTCCCTGTCTTCCAAACTACACACTAAAACAGAAAGGTTCGACAAAAATGGCTTTACTTAGGAACATGCCTATTCCATTTTCTTCAGGTGCTCTTTTATCATAGAAGACAGCAAATTTTATGAAAACCCAGTGTTTCCATTTTGGAAGACCTAGGATGCACACTTCAGAGAATTAAATTCACCTTTTCAAAACATTCATCAGTACATTAGTAGTATACCTTCAAGCAAGATTAATACATCAAACATGGAAAGATTTCTTATGCTATTTCTAAATACTGTATACAGAACAAATTCTATTACTTAAATTAATTATTCTTGAGGTACACTGGTATAACTGGAGGCAGAATCAATCCTCTTGTTTGTGAACCAGACAGGATTGAGCAGAAGAACACAATCTAAAAAGCCAAAATCTGCTTTTTAAAAAAAAGAATTTTGTGTTATCCTATAGTAAATATGCATGTTTATGCATACAAAGAAGTAACTTGTACACAAAGGTGCAAAACTTCAATTTAAATTTTAAAAGTATTTAAAATTCAAAGGGAGTATACTGAACAAAATTTCATGAAACACACTTTATTGATAGTATGAGTGATGGGCTCTTCAGCGACACTCATCATCCAGTGAAGTCAGGGGTCATACTCCCACTACCTTAACTGTGAGTTTAATTAGCTTAGTATCAAGTGCCCCAACAATCTTATGCTCATTTTATCACTTGTGGTATGAATACAAACATTTCTGATTAGGGACTCCTTAGTAAAGAACGAAACACAAACTTACACCTTACGTTACAGCTGAACCAAAAAAACCGCAAAAGAATAGACAATATGTTATGACAAGAGATCTAGGGCAAATTTCTATCTTAACAAAGCTATACATAGTCCTAAACATGCTGGGAATCCCCCACTAACTATTGTTTAGGCATGAAGGAAAACAGAAGGAACAATGCACTGGATAGTTCATAAATAATGATTTCAGGTATTTTCTGAAATAATGGCTTCAGATACTTTTACAGTTCAGAGAACAAGTAAAGAAAGAAACTAAACAGAGTGCTTATCACATGGAAATGTTAGGAGTTAATAAGTACCCATGTTTCCAAGTGATTAAATGTATCAGAATTAATGTCACGCTGGCTTGCAGAATTGCTTATGTGTTTATTTCTAATTATGTTGCTTAACAGCCACCAGTAAAGCAACTCCACTTGTTACCTATCTATTGGAGAGGCGACTAATAACTCACAGTAAACTTTCCCATCTACCACAAAGAGACCATGTCAAATCAATACAAACTCTTAAGGACATATGGAAAACAACAAAGACGTGACAATAGCTTAGTTTTTCAATTGCTGCTTACAAAAATATCCAATTTCCTGCTGTAAGATAAACAAATGTCTCCACTTAGTCTTATAATACTAATTATAGGACTAATTATTATACTAATACTAATCTCCTCTGGCAACTATTCATCTTAATATTAAAACCTGTCTGTGCATATTTAGACAGCACACCTTTTCTTTGTAACATTTTCATTAATTTGTTTTAAGATAGCCAACCACTCAAGCAGTTTCTTAGTACTCACAGTTCCCTTACCCTTGATTACTGTAAATAGCATGTGTCTATAGTGTTTGCACACTACATATACCTAGAAAACATAAAGAAATTTAGAAAATAAAATCTACTTAATCTCTTCATCAAATACATTATGATTTTCTCCTTCATACATAATTCTGTATTTTAATATTCTTTTAACTAGGTACACAGAACCATACTGCCAATCAAGCATTACTGATAGCAGACTTTTCATACTAAAATGGCTGGGTTTCTAGTAGAAGCCTAACATCTCACTATCCTTCTCCATACCCTGTAATCAGGTGAAAAATGTCAATGATTTATTATTCTTGACAGAACACTAAGGCTCTGACTTTAGGGTCACTATGCTCTTAAGTTTTGTGTAGGAGAACAAGCTGTGTACACCTTAGGAGGGTGTATATAAAATAAAGGAACAAAGCAGCAAAGCAGAAGTAATACATCTTGATTTTAATAAACCCTTTGATGCTACCTCAGAAAACATTACCTGGAAAATTAATTCACATTTGTCTCCACGTAATCATTGCAACGTGGACTGAAAGCTGACTGAAATAATGAAGAAAGTGGTACTTTAGCAATACAGCAGAACAAGGAATCTGTGATAGTCAGCCTGGGAAAATTAGACTCACTGATAGGAAATAAAAAAGCTGGGTATTTGTTTATTCCAGGTCCTGACACAGATACCTGCTATCCTACTAGGTAGAAGATTAGAAAGGAGATAGATTAACATGTCCAGTTATGAGATGATAAAACTCAAAGAAAATTAACACTCCCACAGAGAATAATAATTAAGGAATTATGAAATATATGTTTTCATTGATACTTTCTTTGTATATATTAAGAAAGAAGAAACAGTCCATATAGCGAAATCAGTTACTAAAGCTATTTGTTGCTATCCTATAATTTACTTACAGCTGACTACAATTTATTTTAAAACAATTCAGGCTCCTTTAATTGCTTTGAAATTAGGGTTGGAAAATGGAACTGTTGTCAACGTAATATAATATTGTTCTCTATCTATACAGTTGCCACTCAGTAACATTCAGTGGAAGATAAGTGTACTTCTCCCAGCAGTAAGTTTAATTTAATTACTGTAATGGGAGTCTTTAGAATCTTATAGTTAACATCTTGCAAAATCTTAGTCTTTCTCACCTTGATTAAGCAATGTTGGAGGTCTGCATTTAGTAACTGAAGGCTAGCATTAAGAAACTAAATAGCAGCAGCAAAAGAACAAAAGCATATCTATGTAAGTTCTGAATGGCAGAAACCAGAACATGCACAAAAAATCTCAAAATGTAATAGGCTGTAAACACAGGAAAAAGATTTGAAGTCCTGACAATTCTGATTTGTTAAAGATATTCAAGAATATATCCAAGTATGTAATTTTTTCCACAAATTGGAAATTTGCTTACGGACACTTACATCCTGAGGAAAATCATCTAAGTTCAGTAGTATCCCATATATGAATCATACTGTGTTATCAGCATGGTAAGTCATGGGTAGGAAATAAAGGAAGTATAACAAGTGGTCAAAGAGTAAAAGTAAGAAAGATGAGAGGAGAGTAACAATAGAAAGAGCATTATGGTTAAACAGTCTATCCTGAGTCTTTTTCTTGTTTGAATTTTAAATCCTCATTTACAAATAATATAATCTCACTCTAGTTTTCATCTTTTTTTGTCTACATTTGTCTTTTCTTCCCCTTTCAGTATTAAGCACTCAATTTCAATCTGCATAGAAAAATTAGCTTCCTAATCCCCCCATAACTGTTGACATCACTAAGAGCACCCAAAATACTACACTCAACCTGAAGCAGCTAAGAAAAAAACTAGAGATGCCACAGTCCTGGCTCCATTTGATATTTCCTTTTTTCCATTGCCTTGATGTTGTCATCTTCCTATTTGATGCCAGATCACTTCTTTCCAGAAGATGGGGTAGGTGGGGATATCAGGGCAGAGATCTGAGGAGATCCCATGCCCCTCTGAGAACTAGAGGAACTAGACTGGAACAACCTCCTCAAAAAATGGAAGACAGCTTTTATTAGGTATGTATAGAAAAGGGCTAAACGACACAACAAACTGGCTAGATAGAACAACCTACTTCTAAATACAAAGAAACTATTCACACTTGCTTAGTACTAGCTGAGAAAAAAGGTGATGCAAAGAGAAAGGGGAAGTTTTTACTCTCTTCATACATGATGGTAAAGAACTAAGACTCAGAGCACCTTTATCCTCAGGTTTTGGTTTCAAGTATGAGGACATAACATCCTCATATGAGGACACACAAATGAGGACATACCGTCTCACAAATATTGCTAGCAAAAGCGCCCAAATTTTTCTGTTTTAGGTACCTACACCCAGAACAAAATGTATATATTAAAAAACACTAGGAAAACTAGCATCCATAAATGTATGCAAAATGTAGAACGAAGTCAAGCCTTCTGGATACTTTTCCCATGTAGAATTGCTATGCAAAACAATGCTAAAGCAGGACTACGTGATGCTAGTGAGTCATCACACACTCTTCTCCTTGTTGGAACAGTGCTGCTTGTGATGTTAAAATACTTGGAGTTTAGTTACTGGTGTTATCCAGGCTATCATAAATGAAAATTCAGGTTAGATCATCATCGAACTCTTGGCTGTGCAAAACTCACAGCCAGGAATTAATTTTACCTGCATTAATTTACACCAGTTAGAATCACAGAATGGTTTGGGTTGGAAGGGACCTTTAAAGATCATCTAGTCCCCCCCCCCTGCCATGGGCAGGGACACCTTTCATAGATCAAGTTGCTCAAACCTTGCAAGACAACCTTACAAGTTGCCCCAGACTTTATGAGACAGACATTGTATCTGCCACCTCCTCCTTTCCTGAGTCTCCATTCTTACCACATATTTTCTACAGCCCACTCTGGACCACTGCCTCCTTGGCTTTCTCCCCTACTAAACCTGGGGGACTCTTCTGCCACCTGGGCAAACAATCCTTCAGGTTCAGGGTGAAAAGTCTGCCTCTGTAGTAATACTGTTTCTCTAACGCACTCCTACCCCAGCTCTAAAACAATATTTCCCTCTGAGAAGGATCCAAAGGATATGTTCTCTTCCTTTTGTCTCTCTTCCCCCAGTCCAGTGTCACCAACATGCTTATCAGCTCCATGGTTTTTTTACTGAGAGGCAGTGCTGACTGACCAAGGTGCAGGAAGGAGGGAGAGACAGTAACACCAATTAGATTGGTGGCTTTCGTTACTCTAGCTCCAGCGCTGTGGGGTGAGAGTGACGCAGCTTGGAGAAGACACGCCAGAAGGACAAGATGTCATCCAAAGACACCTGGACAAGATGGAGAGGTGGGCCTGTGTGAACCTCATGAGGTTCAACAAGGCCAAATGCAAGGTCCTGCACCTGGGTCGGGGCAACCCCTGATATCAATACAGGCTGGGGGATGAAGGGATTGAGAGCAGCCCTGTGGAGAAGGACTTGGGGGTACTGGTGGATGAAAAGCTGGACATGGGCCAACAAGGTGTGCTTGCAGCCCAGAAGGCCAACCATATCCTGGGCTGCATCAAAAGCAGCGTGGCCAGCAGGTCGAGGGAGGTGATTCTGCCCCTCTACTCTGCTCTGGTGAGACCCCACCTGCAGTGCTGCGTCCAGCTCTGGGGCCCTCAGCACAAGAAGGACATGGACCTGTTGGAGCGGGTCCAGAGGAGGGCCACCAAAATGATCCGAGGGCTGGAACACCTCTCCTATGAGGCCAGGCTGAAAGAGTTGGGGTTGTTCAGCCTGGAGAAGGGAAGGCTGCGAGAAGACCTTATTGCGACCTTCCAATACATAAAGGGGGCCCACAGGAAAGATGGGGAGAATCTTTTCAATAAGGCCTGTTGTGACAGGACAAGGAATAATGGATTTAAACTAAAGAAGAATAGATTTAGACTAGACATAAGAAAGAAATTTTTTACACTGAGGGTGGTGGAGCACTGGTACAGGTTGCCAACAGAGGTAGTGGAGGCCCCATCCCTGGCAACATTCAAGGTGAGGTTGGACGGGGCTCTGAGCAACCTGATCTGGTTAAAGCTGTCCCTGCTCACTGCAGGGGGGCTGGGCTAGATGATCTCTAAAGGTCCCTTCCAACCCAAAGCATTCTATGATTCAGGGGTACAACACAGAACACAGTCCATACCGCAGCATCGCCTCTCCCTCCTCTCATCCTGCCGGCTGTTCCCTGGAGCTGCAGCACTATTGCTTACAGAAGATGAAGTACCAAGACCCAGCAACAGCTCCTCACTGGTTGGGAATTACTGATTTATATCACCAATAAAAGTATAAAATGGAAGAATGATGCAATGGCCTTGTGTGCAGAATACTCCAACTCCATACAACATTACAAGAGCTGAAAGCATACAGCTGTGCAATCAAAATGTCAGTCTGAAAACTACATACCCATTTTAACTTATGAATGAATACAGAGGAGCAAGATAATGAAATTATGCACATTATATAATGCCAGTTCTTCCTTCAGTGATAAAAAGCAATACATAAAATGCAGAGAGAGAGATGTTTGATGCACTAAAATAAATTCCATTAGAAAGAAATCAAGGTTCTGTCCTTCCTTTTTTTTTAAATTCCCTTTAAGAACATATTCTTTCTACCAACTTTACATAGCCATTTTCTTATAGTCTTACCCACATATTTTCAAGCTTTGTGCTGATCCAAAACTTGATATAGCTAAAGTTCTCATCAAAAATATGAAAAAAAAACCAGGAAAAGTATGCATCATTCCTGCATGTTACCACAGCAAAACTTGTCATGTGACTACCTGATCCTACACTATCTTCTCCCTGTAGGTTTTCAAAGGCATAGAGCTCAGTTTTGATTAATGTTACATAAAAAAAGCAAATCTGTTACAGCAAGTACTAATACAAAGACAGGAATTCCCGGCATCTAGTATGCAAAGTCTGTAGTGTTGGTGCAACCACTGCCTAGCTCTCTTCAGTGGAAAAGCAGGATTTTGTTGATATGTACTCAAAGCAATGATGGAGAACACAACAGAAGAGAGAGGGAGATAGTACTGATTCCTGATTCTAGTGTCAATCTCAATTTGTTTCTTCATTTTTTACCTAAATCTAATTTTCTGATCCAAAATTCTTCACAAATAGAAACAATTCCTGCCCTTGCAAGAAAATGAGTATAAGGGTACACAGTAGGAGAGAGATTCCTATAGAAAGGTATTTTTGTTTCAGGATTCCCAGACTCATTAAAGACTTACGAGGAATTTTAAAACATCAGGTAATTCTTCAAAAGAAAACATTTTAATATGGTTCTTTCCTTTACAGTATCAAAGTAATGTTGTTTAAACTCGACAGATTGAAGATAGTGTTCTTGACTGCCTATTTTTCTGGACCAGGCTTGAAAAGCAGCTCACCTCCCAGGACCATACCAGCTTGACAGCACTTCCGCAAGCGACATGCTGGACAGTTCTTCCTACGAATTTTATCGACTATGCAGTCATTTCTTCCAGCACATAAATAGTTGTGCTGCCCTGTAGGCAAGAGGAAAACAGGATTAATACGATGTTTTTTAACATGACAAAATTATTTCTGTGTATAAATGTTCCAAAAGTAACAGAGGATTCAAAAAAAGTATACTTGAACCACTAAAGGACTCCTTCATTTTATGCTAACTTTCAAATAATAGTGTTACTATTTAAACATAATAATTTATTTGGCCTGTTTAAGAGTGAAACTCCCCATCTACAAAATTCCAAAATAATTAGCAGACAGTATGAACTGCTTAAATTATTGTACTATCAATATTTCTTAAGCAAATCAAGCATGAGGACAGACCAATTTGTTTCTTTCAAACTTTTTTTTTTTTAAGTTATTGTTCCTGATTTTAAAAACCTTAAGTAAATTTTACTTGGATTGATGAGGAGTTTCCGACAGAAAACTGAATGAAGAAACTGGGGCAATGCAAAAAAAGAGCCCTTTCAGCAGAGTAAATTACCTCTGATGGAGAAGCAGTTTTGTACTAGACATGCTGAAATACCAGCTGAACAGATGCAGCCAACACAGCCAAAAGAGACAAACAGAAGGCTGTAACTTTTTGTTTAGGTTAGCTCTTAGTTTATTTTTTCATTCTGAAGGACTCGGTTAGAAAGAGCCTGTCATTACTGTATTAAAATGGAATCTTTTAAATGAAATTAGCTTCCAGCAGAGCAAAAAATTAAATTCAGCTGATATCTTGACATTCTTTTGAACACAAACTTCAATGATACTTCCAAATTTCACTTGAAGAGAATGAACAAAGTATACTTTTATACTTTAGTATAATACTGATAATTTCTGTGACTGATTTTAATTTTGAAAAAGTAAAAAAAGCTAAGTACATAAGTAAGAAGAAATCAAAGCTAATTTTCACATATCTTTCCAAATTAAGCCCACGTTTACCCTATAAGGTTTAACTTTTAAAATCCTGCCTGTTTGTGTACATCATCCTCTATTCATTTCTGTATTTTCAGCTTCTTACCAGTACCTAGCATGAAAGCATGAAAACAAACAAAAAAAAAAGTGTTTATTTTGAGAGCAACAAAATGGATCAAAAATGTATGGACAAACTACAGAAGCACCAATATCACAGATGCTTCCTTCATGGAATGTTGTGGATGTGGACCTCCAAATGTAACAGATATCAATACCAAACCTTTTAAATTTTCGCTGATTTCTAGATCAGTATTACTCTGAGTTAGCCATCTGATGTCACCAGTAGCAAACAAATCTGAGATGATTATTCTACTCAGATACTGTTATTCAGCTTGCTTTATAATCTTATTCTGTTCTTTCTCTGCACATGGTAAAATGAGCAACGGTTCACCAATACCTTTCTTCCACAGAAGAAAGACAAACTGAAAACGAATCCTCAGATGAAAATGCCAGAGAAAGAAGAACATTCTGTTCCAACAAAAGAAAAGAGCTAGTGCTAAACCATGTGTTTGTTTCCATGCTAACATTTTTTTTAGATAACTAATTTGCTTCTTACCTATACTCTTAAGAACAACTTGTCTGGTTTTAGTGAAAGAAACCTGACTGCCTGAAATTCATTTTTGTAACCGTTTCTTTTTTTTTTTTTTAAAACAACAGGTAAATAAAAGTAGTTGCCTCATGCATTGCCTGGCATTTAAAAAGTATTTAGTAATGCAGTAAATCAGAAGGAATTCTCATTTACTTTCTCCCATTAATTCTAATCCTCAGTTCCTCCTTACAGGAAACATTACCAAAAGTAACTGAATGAATAAAAATCTGTCTTGCTTTTGGCAGCAGATTAGGAAGCAAAACACTTACTTTGAACATGTCTTCCTTGGGATTATTTGTGTTTTTTCCTCATCTTGTTTTGCCTTTATTAGCTACAAAAGCATTCAGTCTTTTCATAAGCAACAACGTTAGTTTAACTAAAACTGTGAAGCATCAGATTATCTCTGCACTGTGGCATCTGATGTTTTAATGTACAGTTAATTTACAAAGGAACACTTAAGCATGGGTTAAGTTTTGTTTGTGGGTGTCTTGGTTTTGGGGGTTTCCTTTGGTCCCCTGAAAAGGTATCTCTTCTGGACCTCTTTTTTCGGGAATCCCTCGAGTCTACACAACATGGTCAGAGTCCATATAACCCATGTCAATTGCAAGACCAAAAAATCGACTATGTATTTCCAGTATGGCAGTAAATGCTCACAAGCACCTCACAATGCTGTAGGCATTCAAGTTGTACTTTTCCCCCTACAATGACACAGAAAAATGCTGATCTACCAAAGCCAATGCCATATTGTGAAATATTATTCTTCAAGTATTCAGAGAACACTGTCTATACATTCTAGAATGATGTCAGTATTTAGAATTCGCTCTTGATATCAATACGTGATTTGCATACTCAACACCCAAGTGCTCTAACTGCTAAAGGAGGCTAAGGAGTTTGGCTAGAAGCAGTAATGGCAACACTGTTCCTGCTGGAACAGGAAATTATCTGGAAAACCAGAAATTAATAGCTCAATTTATACTGTTACACATTTAAATAGCCTGTATTATTTATATAATAGTGGTTACATATTATGCATCTAAGATGAAGCATTACAAATCAAGGGTGCAATACACTGTAAAATTTTAAATTTACAGTTACACATTTAAGTTTAGCTACAGCTCTTAAAAACCACTTCATAACTTAGGGGTTATCAGTAGATCCAACTTCCACTTCAACTGAAAATGCATTAATTACTTCATCATTACATAACAACTCACAAACTGCTCATTATAAATCCAAGATTCAACAAAATTTTTCACATTTGCAAAACAAATTGTAAATGAATCACAGTTATGAAAACTACTCTTCAATGTTCATATGTTCTAGAGTTTAAGATTAGGCAGGATTAAATAATCTCTCTGTCCAGTGCATACCATGGAAGAAATGAAGTCTGTTATTGGAATTTAGGCACAGTAAGAATTTGCTTTGATCTTCAAAAAGTGAGTATTATTTAATTCCTATTTCATAAACTGTGTTTAAATATCTAGTAGAATCATAGAATCACAGAATGCTTTGGGTTGGAAGGGACCTTTAGAGGTCATCTAGCCCAACCCCCCTGCAGCGATCAGGGACAGCTTTAACCAGATCAGGTTGCTCAGAGCCCCGTCCAACCTCACCTTGAATGTTGCCAGGGATGGGGCCTCTACCACCTCTCTGGGCAACCTCTTCCAGTGCTTGACCACCCTCATTGTAAAAAACTTCTTTCTAATGTCTAGTCTAAATCTATTCTTCTTTAGTTTAAATCCATTATTCCTTGTCCTGTCACAACAGGCCTTATTGAAAAGATTCTCCCCATCTTTCCTGTGGGCCCCCTTTATGTATTGGAAGGTCGCAATAAGGTCTCCCCGCAGCCTTCTCTTCTCTAGGCTGAACATTCCCAACTCTCTCAGCCTGGCCTCATAGGAGAGGTGTTCCAGCCCTCGGATCATTTTGGTGGCCCTCCTCTGGACCCGCTCCAACAGGTCCATGTCCTTCTTGTGCTGAGGACCCAATGTAATGACCAATGACCTAATCTTTATTATGTCTTCACCTAGTTTATTTCTTCCATAAAGCCTCCATGATACTAGCATAAAAAGAAGCAAGAAAAAACCAAAATCCTGCCAACCCAACCCACCCATGAGATTATGGTGATAAAATTTCAGGCATTTCTTGATTCTGTCAACCACTTCCTTGTTTTCAAGACTACAAAAAAGCCACAGTCATGTCCTGAGCTTGAATCACATCTTCATGTGAGTTTTCCACTCTGCTCGCCTCTACCCAATCTCTCCCCAACTCCTCCCACCCCAAAGTGTATTCCATTCATTCTGATTCAGCTGCAACTTATTTGGAAAAAACATAAGGTTCAATTATATAGTGTTTTTCATGTTCTCATCTGTCAGGGATTTTTTATTATCTGTCATCTGATTTGATCTCGTCTCTATAGGTAAATCTGAGTCAATGTTCTCATCTGAAACTGTTTCTACCATTGTGCAGTGCTGAGAAACTGCTACTTGCTTGACTGTAATACCTAAGTGGCAGCAACCATCTGAAGGACAGAATGTGTAAGAAATGGAAAACGTGCCAAGTATTTGGTTAATTTCAAAATTATGGGACAATAGTTAGTTAGATGAAGCTGTCTGGAATGGTTTCATGGGATGCTGAAACTTTTATTTGAAAATACATTTGCTGTATCTCAGTCTTTAGGATCATCTATTTTTTTTCAACATGTGAGCGTTGCAGTTGCATTAAATGCATGTACTAACACAGCATCCAAAGACCACTGTCAAGATAAAAATCCTGTTCAATTGGTAGCTCATCATTCAGTATCTTTTATATGACTACTGTCATTGTAACTGGGAAAAAAAAAACCAGAAAAAACAGATAGTAGTCTAATCACTAGAGCACAGGTCAGAAAGTAAAGATTGATATTTGTGTTTCTTACAAAAATATGAATCTGGCAACTTTCTGTCAACTGCCACTTTCTTGGAAGTCCTCACCCAATGTTAAGTTTCCTATACATGTTTACTTTTTACCTCTTTTTGAAAGTGCACATTGTAGCTCTCTCTCAACATACCAACGTATCAGCTTGTGACCTAGATTTGATTGAGAATATGGAGAAAACACAGAAACGATTTAATCTGTTACTCATGTTCCAGATTCTTGTAGGATAGCATCTTTCTTAACCTCCATCAAAGTCCATTTGTGTTAGCAAAGGTGGAAGTCCTAATGCAAACAAGTAAATACAACTTTAGGTACTGTAGTGACTCCTGCTATACTGGCAGGTTTATATCAGAAAGTGGTCAAAATGCCAATGGTCCACATACACAAATACGATCACAGGTTTCGCTATCAGTAAAGCTGCACAGATCGTACTCCAGCACTGAGAACTTTTAATCCAAATACTGCTGGAAGTAGCACGCCCAGTGTCTTTAAAAACTGCACTATTAACTTAGCTCACTGACATGCTCTAAGTCACTTAAAATCACTCGAGTAAAC